ATATTTTAGCGTCAAATGCGCCAAGGGGAAAGTGAGACGACAAAAATAGGGTCTCTTCCGTTTAAGAGCAGTCACCATATCTGTTGCATCCAGTAGAGCAATATGCGCACTAGGAGGACAAGAGGTTGACCAAATGTTACAGTTAAGAGGCATTTACTCATTTTCCAACAGGCTATACTTCCTAGCTGATCTGATACCAGGTGCATGTTACAGTAATTTAGACCAATCAAAATTGTTGTCGGCACCAAATCAAAATTACCATATTTTTACTCTACTTATTATTAGATTTAAGAAAAACGTATCTTGAAATAAATTTTTGATGAATTTAACAGCAGAGAAAAATTACCATACTTTACTACAGTAAATCACTTCAGATTTTCCCATAAGACAAGTTTAATGTGCATTAGAGAATCTGAAAGTCAGTTACTTTAATCCCTTTGACAGAAATAGAAAGATAAGAAATATTTCACAAGTATGCTGCCTTTATTTGATTCATAATTCTAGCAAACAACAAAGCAAGAAAAAGTACCATAATCTTACAAGGAAAAAAAGTGTGACAAATTTAACTAGCCTTTAACATTTTAGATTACCCCCTTTCTTCTGCTTACTTCTTGATAAGTATAATGTCAACCAGTCCCTCAACTTCTGAAATCACCACCATAATATTGGCCCTAGGATAGATTGTATATAGATTATATTTTATATTTTGCAAAATATGTATTTATTTTTAAGATAAAATTTTGTTTTGAATGAGTTTCATCCTAAAGTAAACTCTCACTTGAAATCTTATATAAATACACATACTAATAAATGAAATGACAATTTTGTAGAGTGAAATTATTCTCAAAATTTACACTGAATGTGTGTACACTAATGAGTTAGACGTAGAAACATTACTAGCTCCATTCCCCATCCTTCAGCCAAAATAAATTTAATGTGCAATACAAAGTTAGGTTTTTATGACCTTGCCATTTTTCTGTAATAGGAAAAATTAGATTTTTAACATATTTTCTTTTACTAGTCAACCATTTGGTCCGAGTGGTGTACTTCCTTCCTTCCATGGCTAAGATTATGGGTTCTACTCCTGTAGGTGTTCAGCCATTTGGTTCGGTGGTATTCTTCTTTAACTTCCATGCAGAATGTTGAGTTTTGTAGTCTTGCAGTTGCAGGTGTTAAAATCCTGCTTTACTTCAACCCAAAGAAGAAAGTATTATGTTCAATATAGTCTACTCGAATCCATAAACATAACCTCCTAGTTGGATCAAATTCACATACTATGTGTCATGCCAGAGATAGATGCACTGTTAGGCTCTTTTTTCCATCAGTTTAGGATCAGGGAAGAATAGTTTCAAACCATAGATTTAAAGACCCCAAGAATTTCACAAGTAAATTTGCTTTCTCTGTATCAGCCGTAGTGCTGATATCAAGCCCAATTATGGGGAGGGTGATTTTTTTTTTTCAGGTAAATGGGGGATGAATCTAATAGATGTTAGGTTGAGGAATCCACCAGAGGGTATTAACCTGGGCATCCCACTGGGACGGCTGGAAGCTGGGAGAGGACCAATGGGCTAATGCTGCATTGGCACCTGATAATCATAGAACAATCATTTTTGAGGGGAAAAATGGTTAATCTTTATTGGCATGAAGCAAGATGTAACCAAATCAATAAACTAAATTAGGATCAACATTAACATTATCAGCAAAGACTGAAATTTCCATAAAGCATGTGATGAAATTCTGATGCGACTAGATACATTATTAGTTAAGGGCTATAGGTATTGTTAACTTACTTGTTAAGCGATTGGGTCTATATTACACTAGAGACTTAGGACTATTTACTAAATTACAGACTGGGAAAACTTTTAAGGGCTATTGGTGAGAGGTGTGCAATTGGAAAGACACCCATACTGAACCTCCCAAGCAAGTCGGGTTTATAGGCATTTGCAATAATAAAATCAAGACTTAACACAACAAAGCAAAAAACAAATTAAAACTTGCTTTCCTCATAGAGGAAAAGAAAAAAAAAAGAGAATACTATTCCAGTTTTGGTTTATCTAAAGCTTAGTGTAATAAAATAATTCATGATGCATGGTGCTAAAAAAAAAAAGAAAAACCAATACACATGCCAATACAATTGATTTATTTAATAACGAGCTTTGTTACACGTAACATTGACGATGTTTGTTCAATTGTTAGTAAACTTTTTTTTCTCTCTAGAAACAAGATTTTTTTTATTAATTTACACAGAAGGTATATAAGTTTGATACAATATACCTTGGAAATGGAGGTGCGAATAAAAAGCTATTTCTCCTTCCTTTCTACTTCCAGCACTATCTCATTACGGCGAGTGAACGGAAGTGTAAATGGTGGATTGTACTGTAAGTGCACATAGAGAGTGTCAACCATGTCCAGAAGGATCTCAGATAAGTTCCATGAAAACAAGTCATTCAGAGACTCTTGCTGTTACTAATTATCACCTGCGCAACTTCTACCAAAGAATCCTTCCTTACTTGGAACTGATTGTCATTTTCCAGAGCACGTCGTAATTTGGATTCCCGCTGTTTAACTTCCTCATCAGTAACAAAGCCTGATTCATTTGAAGATGGAAACATAACCAAGAATATGAGTACAAGAAGGATGGCGATGCATCAATGTACTTCATTATCCCCAAGACAGAAATAGCAACATTTCCATCAATTAGAAAATAGACCTCTATAAATACAACAGACAGAGAAACTATTAGTAAATATATTTAGTAAAATGAAAATCACATTAGTCAAAAGTAAATGCTATGATGCCTCTTTTTCTTCTTCTGTATTTATCCAACTGTGGGTTTTTCAGGTTGTTTTTCAATCCCCACAGCCACCAATAACATGAAGGTCTTATCATCTCCTGCCAAAAACTATGCGGTGATTTTAGCTTCTTTCTTTTTCCAAAGAACTAATGCATCTCCAAGTATTTTTCACCTCCAGTTTTATACTTATCAAGCAAACATAAAGATAATAGTAAATGCTATTTTAATTAAAGATCTAAAAGATTTTGATGGAAAATGAAGATAAATAATTCCTCTGACTCAGAAACAGTTACAGTCGATAAGAAAAGTTTACAAATGGCTTAACCCAAATATTTTAGTTTATATGCTTTACCAATAATTCCCACCACTTGTCATACGTTTAAGCACGCCATTGCTCACGATTTTAAACACAATGTTTCATCTTGGTCATATTTTGCTACAAATTGAAGACAAAATTAAAATAATAGTGCAGAGTAGTTTTATGCTAGCTTTCATGGATAGTAGAATGCACAAAAAAATTAGTGTTCTTACATATTCTCAATCCCGAAGTATTCAGTGATTGATATCCACATCATCATCACATCCGGTCAAAGAAAACTCAAATACAAGTACAAACCTGAGAATGCAACAACTGCAACAACTTTCTTTGGCACCTCTTGGATCCTCACAGATGGATCTCTAGGCAATGGCAAGCTGGCACCATATTTTGAGGGCATGACAAAGGACATCCTCCAATTGCTTTGATCTTCCTACTAAACAAATGCATAACCAATTAGATTATGGTAGCAAAGAGACGGATGGAAATAACGAACTTTATGAAACAGATATATCAGAGATCTAAATGTCCAATATCATAGATGTACATATATATCTTCTGGAAAAGTGAATGTCCACATGTACTTGTATATCAAAAGGTTGATGTTTGCCACACAAACACAGTACAAGTGAAGGCACTGATTCTGCCTAGAATTAGTCTCAGCCAAAATACATTGTTTCGAGTTTCTTAGTAAGCAAAGTAGATTATATTAAATGGATAAAGGATACAGTGATATATACTGTTCAGGGTCATGCACTACATGACTAGTTTTCATCATACTGGATTAGTAAAATGAAATGAAATTATTATACTAATTATCTCATGTTGGTCCAAGACATAATGCATTTAATTACCGCACCCCTAAAAGTGCACCTAAAACATGCATCACAGAGAAGATGCCAAAGTCTAAAAGAAAATATGTTACTAATATAAGATCCATGTACGAAGCATACCCTCTTTGTTATTACAGGAGTTGTCATTTCCATCTTCTCCCCATCAGCTTGAGTCTTACGCGTTATTACAGGGGTGGTCATCTCCATTTTCTCCTTCGGGATATTCTAGGAATAGCAGAAATCCAAACTAAGCAAACCGATCATCTAATTAACTTATACAAAACAACATGGCGGGAAGTACTCCATCCAAATAATTACAAACTACCTTACCAAACAGGTACTCAGCTAAAACATTGAAGGACTGAGATGCACCACTGAAATCAAATCCAGTCTTGCCAGGCATGGTTGTCTCTGCCACGAAATAAGACTGTTTCACAGTCACAGCCCTTATTTAGACAAAACATGGATGTGTCAAAGGGAAAAAACCAACAAACAGGAAAGCACAAGCAAATTACTGGCAGAAAGAGACAGAGACTAATATATGTACCTCAACTTCTCTTATCTCATACTCGTCTCTCCTACTGAGAATCCTATATTTCACCGTTTCAAGATCTGGAACTACATAAATCCAAAGAAAAACAAAAAAAACGAAACACTAGCTCCACTATTTAAAAGAAACAAAAAGAAAAAAACATTCCACGTTCAACCACTCAAAATTAAGTAGAGAATTATATAAGCTACCTGCCATTAAAGCTTCCTCCAAATTTCTGCCGTCAAATCTCTTAGGGAACACATATTTCGCGGTCTCACTTACCAAATCCACGAACACTTCAAAAAAAAATAAGAACACGATCGGAACATAAATCAAAAGGCAATGAAATAAGAAGTTTGGAACTAGGGAGTGAATATTTACGGCGCTGAGAGACAGATGAGGCCTGAGAAGCAAGAGCAAGGACAAGAGAGACCCGAGCGTCAAAGGCGGACATGGTTCGTCTCTGCTGTGGAGCCATCGTTTCCCTATTTGCGGCCATGGATTTTGTGGTTGTCACGTTAAGATACGATCTCCTCTTAGGGTTTAAAACAGTGCGGCGATCGATGTGAGGATTAGATGGAGCTTGAGTGATCAGTGAAGGCTTGCAGAGAAGCATTTTTTAAATTCCCTTCTTCTTCGTCCTATTTCTTGGGTTTCAAATTTCTGTTTGAGAAGGAAGATTTTATAAGGGACAGAAATGGAAGCCGCCGTTAGAGTTTCTCCCGGGAATGTCAAAAAACTACAACCACTAAATTATTTATTTTTATCATATTTAAAATCATTATATTTCAAAAATAAAAATTTACCTGCCCAAAGCTGTTGAGGTCGACTGTCATCACTTACGGGGAAAAAAAATCGAAAGTTTATTTATGAAATTTATTTAAAATTTATTATTATATGTACATATAAAAATATAAAATTTAGCATACTAATAACTTAAATAAAATTTTGAATATATATTCTAATTTTTATTAAAATAGTAGATCACACGTATCTTTTTTTCTATCAGTTTATGTCTTTTTAGT